ATTCTTAAAGAATCCAGCAGTGACAGCTGCTTCATTTTAAGATGAGTCAGAGAATGTGCTGTAATTTAAGAGCACTTTTCCAAGAAACAAAACAGAAATTCTGTAGGAAGAACTAGCTTTGATATTGCTCTAGATGTATGAAATACGATTTTTCACTTTCCACACATGTATTGCAAAGAAGTATTCTTCTCCTGTTTTGAAGACCACAGCTTCTGTTTCCAACTATCTTGTGTGGCATGTTCAGGATCACTTGATATGAATGGAATAACCTCTCAGCCTCTTTCAATTCCTTGATCTACTCATGATCAAGGCAATATAAGGTAATAGCAAACAGAATTTTTGTTGGATTCATACCTGTTGGATTTGCTGAGCTCTTCCTGTCATGTGCAGTATTGCCATCTACTAATTGGGAAGAAAAACATTTTTTTGGAAATTGAAAGATGAATATGCACTTCAACAACATAGTTTTGCTAGCACCTAAGAGATTATCTAATGGCAGAAAGTGAAGAGGAACTAAAGAGCCTCTTGATGCGGGTGAAGGAGGAGAGTGCAAAAGTTGGCTTGAAACTCAACATTAAGAAAACTTAAGATCATGGCATCCAGTCCTATCATTTCCTGGCAAATAGATGGGGAAGAAATGGAGGTAGTGACAGATTTTATTTTCCTGGGCTCCAAGATCACCGCAGAGGGGGACAGCAGCCAAGAAATTAAAAGACGCTTGCTCCTGGGGAGGAAAGCTATGGCAAATCTAGACAGCATACTAAAAAGCAGAGACATCACCCTGCCAACAAAAGTGTGTATAGTCAAGGCTATGGTTTTCCCAGTTGCAATGTATGGCTGTGAAAGCTGGACCATAAGCAAGGCTGAGCACCGAAGAACTGAAGCCTTTGAATTGTGGTGCTGGACAAGACCCCTGCGAGTCCCTTAGACTGCAAGGCGATCAAACCGGTAAGTCCTAGAGGAGATCAGCCCTGACTGCTCTTTAGAGGGCCAGATTCTGAAGATGAAACTCAAATACTTTGGCCACCTTATGAGAAGGAAGGACTCCCTGGAGAAGAGCCTAATGCTGGGAACAATTGATGGCAAAAGAAGAAGGGGATGGCAGAGGATAAGGTGGCTAGATGGAGTCACTGAAGCAGTTGGTGTGAGCTTAAGTGGACTCTGGGGGATGGTGGAGGACAGGAAGGCCTGGAGGAGTGTTGTCCATGGGATCGCGATGGGTCAGACATGACTTCGTGACTAACAACAACAAAAACAACTAACAACTGGAGAGCCAGTGTGGTGTAGTGGTTAAGAGCATGGGACTGGGACTCAGACGATCTGGATTCTAGTCCCCGCTCGGCCATGGCACCAACTGGGTGACTTTGGGCCAGTCACAGACTCTCAGCCCAACCTACCTCACAGGGTTGTTGTTATGGGGATAAGATGGAGGAGGAGATGTAAGCTGCCTTGAGCCCTTTGTAGGAAAAAGGCAGGATATAAATCAAAAAATAAATATATAAATAAATTAAAAAAGAGAGAGATTATGCTGACAATAATGTTATAGAATGACATATGAAAAGCTGTGATCACAGCACAAGTGTCATAAACACATCTTTCAGGAAATACTAGACCTGTAAATATTAACTCCTTGGATGACTTACATGTAAAGCTGCACAAAGAACTCCCCGCCGCCGCCTCCCATGGATGAATGGGATGAAAAGTGTTCCCCTACAAAGAAGCACTATACAGGTTACCTCCTGCTTGATCGTATGAACTAAGAAATGTTATCAATTGACGGAGCGATAGTAGCAGATGCACAAGGAACTAAAAATCAATACATTGCAAAATTACAAGAACAAGCCAAGAAGAATGTTGTTGTTGCCATGTGCCATCAAGTTGTCTCTGACTCATGGTGACCTTATGAATGAAAGCCCTCCAAAATGTTCTATCCATGTGAGCCCTGCTTAACTGATCTAAATTCAAGGTTGTGGCTTCCTTTATGGAGTCAAACCGTCTCTTATTTGCTCTTTTTTGTCTGCTGCCTTCACATTCCCTAGCAGGATTGTCTTTGCACGCTGTGTCTGAAGTATGACAGCCTCAGTGTTGTCAGTTTTGCTTCTAGGAAAAGTTCTAGCTTGATTTGATCTAGGACTGAACTGTTCATCTTTCTGTTGGTCAAAGGTAATGCCCCAGCACCATGTTTAAGAAGAATGTAGGTGTAGCTAACTCGAAGTGACTTTAAAACTGAAGTTAAATCTAATAAAATGGTCATGTCTGTAAACCATTATCGTTGTTTACTATTGTGCCAAACATCCTGAGCCCAGATTTGCCCAGGGCAAAGAACTTACCCCAAAAATATGAACAACTACTTTTATTTCAGTTCCTGGGAAGACACTAGTAAAAGTATATGCTTCCAGGTCTTTCAGCAGTAGGTACTGTTAGCTGAAACTCACATTCTAATCTACATTTGTCTTTGTGAATATAAAACGAGGGAACCATAGTTAACTATTCCAAAATAATTAACATGGAGTACAAAGGTATATACTTGTTTATGTAGTACTAAGGCTAGACCAATGGAACTACTGAATTACTGATTGGGTTACTGCTTTTAATTGTAACCTAAAGAGCAATGTGGATTATGCGTTCACATGGTCACTGCAATTATAAAGTAATGATTAGGCAGCTACACTGGTCATCTCTGTTGAGTATCCTCTTTCAATTGGCAACAGCCACATCCCTGGGAGGAAAACATGCCTATACTGACCTTTTGAATGCTGGCCAACTAATCTGTTCTGTATGGTGAACAAATGTAAAGAACAACAAGACTCTTGCAACTGTCACGGTCACAGAAGAGGGTGTTTCAACCGATGCAGCTTGCTGTACAGCAGGGATAAGCAACACCTTATGAAATTACCTTTTCTTTGACTCTTATGGGCACAGAAGCCATTTCTGTTCTGTTCTTCACTTGGTCACCCTTTGACTCTTAAAGACTCAATCAACTTGCAACTTGCAAGAATGTTTTTGCATAACTAAAAAGTAGCATGCAGCTTAAATCTTGTGGTGTAAAGAATCAGACTAGAGGATGCATGCAATCCTAGCACTTGCAGCTTGATTTTATGCTCATTTACTTGCAGTAAGAGCTTACTGGGACTTGACATAAATGGGCCTAAAGGTCCATAACCACATGTCCTGCAGTCCAGAGCAAACAGCTGCCTCAGTGTTGGTTCTCCATCAGCAAAACCAGAAAAGCAAGAATGAACTTGGGATGGTTAGAAAAAGGGAAGAATGAGAATCTTATATTAATCTGATGTCTGTCATCCTGAGCTCCCTTGAGGAGGGAGGAAACAAGACACAAATATTACTTAAGTGTACTGGTTCTGCATTTCATTGCCTTCTTGATACGACGTCTAGCAGTGGTTCAATATCCAATAAAATGCAAATTTGTATTTGTCTAACAACTGTAGCATGAAGTGGTCCTGTGATTGCAAAGAGCTGGGAAAGGACAGTCAGTCTAACAGCAGCCAGAGGGCAATGCTCCCCACCCACTGGCAAAATGATCATTTTGGGAAATCTATCTTAGGGTTAATAAAACCATAAATAAAACCATGTGTAAGCCTTTTCCAGCTGTATAGCTGATCAGGACAGAAATGAACTAAGAGTGGAACCCGTATACATGTCTGCTCAGTAGGTCCGCTTAGTTCAGTAGGGCTCATTCCTTGGTAAGTGTATATATAGGATTGCACCATCAGGAGCAATAAGCATAAGTTAACATCGTTTACTAAACGTGAGGGGATGTCAGATATTGTGTAAGTAATGCTTGCTGTCCCAAGTGCTTCAGGGAAGGGTAGGCTGGTAGTCAGCGGAAGGACTCGTTCTGATGTGGGCCGAAACTGCTGGAAGAATGAATGACAAGTGAAATCGGTGACCTGAATAACGAAGCTCTCCAGAAGGGAGGGTGGTTCAAAAAAGGTTCGTGTGGAAGGTGAGTGGCCACTCGGGGAACGGCTGGAGGAGGATGAGGATGATGACAGAAAGCCCATCGACGGAGGGCAGAAGGCGAGAGGCAGAGGGACCAGTCGGAAGAAGCGAAGCTGGATAAACTTCGTCGAAGCTTTCCTCCTCCGATGGAAATGGAGGGGAGCAGGAAAAGGAGGCAGCACGTGGGAGCAGGAGCGTGGGTAAGCACGAGGGAAGAGGAGGAGGAGGGCGGGGTGGAAGGCGGAAAGGGCTTCGGAGAGGGGCTGTTGGCGCCCCCTCCCCACTCATGCCCAGGGGAGGACGGGAGAAGCAGATGGGGACTCCAGCGAGGAGGGGGAAGGATGAGGGGGGGAGCGAGCGAGCGCGACATGCAGCGGGGCTGAGAAGACAGGTTAGGCGGTGGGGGCGGGGCGGGGCGGGCGGGCGCCGAGGATGCTGCTGCTCGCGTGGGGACGCCCCTCCCCCGCGCTGGGCGGTCGTGGCCATGCCGTGTCCGCCGGGAGCCGCCTGCCTGCCTGCCTGCCTGCGCTGGGACCTGACTGGGGCGGGTGGCTGGTGCGGAGATTGGTTAGCGGGGGCGGGCAAGTGCCACGTGATTGGCGGGAGCGGCGGAGCGGACTGCGGTGGAGAGAGTCCTGATTGGTTGCCGACGAGGAAGCAGGAAGGGAGGACGGAGCGGAGCCGAGTAAGGGCTCGATGCTGCCGCTGCTGCTTTCGGAGAGTTAGAGCAGCTCGGCGGCGAGGAAGACGACGACGACGACGGAGACGGAGACGGAGACGACGCAGCAGCAGCAGTAGCAGAGGCAGCGGCGGCGGCACAGCAGTAGGACACGAGCCCTTCTCCCGCCGCGGGAGTAGAAGCAGCAGGAGCCGCCGCCGCGACCGCCCCCTCCGGCCTTGCGCGCGCGGGCCCCAGAAGGGGGCGCGCCTGCCGTCCCCATCCCGCAGCCGGGCGGCGACGCGGCGGGAGGCGGCGGTGCTGACGCAGCAGCGTGGAGCCCGGGACTCGGGCGCCCCGGGGCGTTCCAGCCGCCGGATTCCAGCCCGGCCGGGGCCTCCGCCTGCCCTGGGTGGGCCCCGCTGAGCCAAACGGCGGCAGCGACGACGGAGCAGCCCGCGAGCGCCCCGGTGAGTGAGCGAGGAGGGAGTTCTTCAGTCCGTCAGTCTGCACCGGCCGGCGAGGCGATGGGGCTCCGCCCGCTGCCGGCCTTGGCGGCGGGGGCGGCGGTGGTGCTGGGAGAACGCAGCGTCGAGGAACTTGTGGGGAGCGGGAGGGTGATAGGAACAGGTGCCGCCGCCGCCGCCGTTGGGAACCGGTTGGGGGGGAGGTGGCGGGCTTGGCGAAGGGAAGCGGAGGGGGCGCGGTTCTTGCGGGACGCCCCTACGACGAATCGGTACGCTGGCTTCAGCCGGGGGGCACTGGGAACTTTCTGCCGGAATCTGGCTCGTGCTGGCACAGGGGCCGGGCGGGCGGGCGGCGAGTCGAGCTGTTGGGTCCCCCGGGGGCGCTTCTGCCCCCCTTGTCTGCCTCCAGTGCATCCACGGTTGCCGCTCCTCGTGTCATGGTGGGTGGGTGACTTGGCCGGCTGACTTGCTCGCTGCGATTCCAGCTGCAGCCGCTTCTCCGTTCTCGCCCTTTCTCCGGGCTTGGTATCGGCGGGGGCCTGCCTTGGCGTTGGGTGGCGGGGGCGGCTGCCGCCACCCCCTTTCCCGAACGGCACCGTGGCCCTCGGACTGACCCTCTGCTTGAGCTGAAGGACATCCCGGGCTGCTCACGTTTCATCCGGCCGCCCGAGAGCCCCGAAGAAATGGTCCCCTTTGGCAGGTGGGCTGAGCCATGCCACTGAGATTCCCCGGGGGCCCACTTGGATCGCACTAAGGGCCAAGCTCCTGCCCAGCTTGTGGGATTAGCTTTAGGTCTAAAGTTATGTAACAAAACCATGAACTTTTACAACCTCATGCCCCTCATCCTTTTCCAAAGGCTCTAACGAAAGGCAGGGGCCGAATCTATGGGGGAGCACGTGAATGGAGCTTGTGCTGGCTCCTTGGCTGTCCCCCTTTTCTCCCTTTTCCCGTCAGACGTCGCCCGTCAGACCTATTTCCCACTTCGGAGAGGACTGCCCTGTCTCAGGGAGACGCCTTTCTGGATAAACCAGACACAGAGACAGATGTCCTGTTTAAAATGGGCTGTAAAGGACAAAGACAAACAGAACACTTTCTATTCCTAGTTAGTGGTCTATTGGAACAGGAACTTGGAACCGAGCACTGCAGCAGAAGTGATTAAGCCTTAGACTGTTAAAAAAAGTGTTGGGGGTATGTGTATGGAAAGATGTGTCGGAGACTGCATGTGGATGGATTTTCTCTAGAAACAGCAAAACATATAACTTGTCACTGACTTGAGAGAAATGTTTCAATGTGGTGAAATAAAACTGCAGAATCACAATATTGTTTGATAGTAGTTTATAAAACTGTGAAGGAAGTTGAGGGGGTGGAACCAATAACAGGAAAAATCTAAGTTGAAGGCTGTATAACTTCTTTCCTGTAGGGAGTAATTTTGCAGGTGGTAATAATTCAGGGAAGATAATGCATTGTCTGCTCAGTATTTCTCATGCTGTCACAACTTGGATGTGTAATGCCTTCATAGGCCAAAAATCACATGTGCATTTCAAAGTTCTTTAGTTACCAACTCTGGAATCTTCCCCCTTTCCAATTAATGCACTTTATGACAGTTCACAGGTTTATGCTTTTCCTGCTTAAATGTTTCCATATCCCCTCTCTCAAATAATCCGATCCCTCTAGTGCCCTTGGACATTCCCCACACATTTTTTTTTTTTTTCTGTTTCACAAGATTGGAACCCTAAATGAAATCTCTGTCATTGCATCTGGGGAGGCATCCCTTTCCCCTTATACCCTTTCTGTACGGGAGGAGAGGTTAAAATCTGAAAAATCAATTTCAAAATGTGCACATCATAGTAAATAGTATGTGCAAAATTGTTTAGGGTTTTATTAGTTTTAGGGTTTTATTAGTACATCATGAGTGTTTTTTAAAAAGTATTTGGTAAAAGAGTTCAGTGAATCTTGCATTCATATTGAAGCAAAAATGTTGTAGGATAAATAGCTGCTTTGCAGAAAATGTGTATAATTTTCATTTCAGTTTTATGTCAGTCACTTGCGTGTTTGAGTTAGAAATTTCAGTAATTACTGTGTGGAACACTGGACATTCTAATTCATTACATTGACCATGTGTTAACAGATCTGACTTGCGCTTATAAAGTCTGGAGCACTGCTTACATTGAAGGATAATGCTGGGGAAGTATTTAATATAGTTATTGTTAATATTTGCCTGATGATTTCTGTGGCTTTCTGCCTGTACATTAAATGGAAAATGCAAGCAAGTACTTGCATTGCTTTCACTTGTATGAAAGTAACATTGAAGAGATCAGTTCGTTTATTTCTGGATGCTTCTGAAAAGAACAGGCACTGGTAATTGTGAGATTAGCCAATTCTAGATTGGATTGTTTTTATTTATTTAGATTTTGTAGTCTGATTAATCTATAAAGTATTTAACATTTTCTTGCTGTGGAGATAGGCAACCTGTGCTAGCCAGATGTTTGGGATGTCAGTTTCCATTAACTTCCATTAAGTTACCATACTAGCTTCAGCTGATGGGCATAGTAGTGCTAAACATTTGGAAAATGCCAGGGTGCCTACTTCTGCCTTGTTGCTTGTTGTTCGGTCACAAGTGTTTGAGCAATGTTGTTATTCCCCTTTTTACAACAAAACAAAGTAAGGCATACTTGTACAAGGTTGTGTTGATCAACTCTGTATATTAACCTTGTTTTCACGGTTTGCCTGTTTGCACTGATTGCTCCATGCCTGAAAACTACAGGGCACTGCAAGGATGTGAGACATTCCCTGAAAATTGGATTGAGAGACCCAGAGTTATGATTAAAGTAAATGGTACAATGTTCAAATGACCTTTTGACAGTCCAGTATGACTGTTATGAAGCATTTGCAGAATTCTGGAACTTCAAAAAATCTATAGCAGCATAATAGATTAGATATGCTAGTCCTAGAATTTTGATTTTATATTATGTGTAACCTGATCTTGTGAAGGCTTCAAATTAAGAATCTATTCATTTATTTAAGCTATGATTTAGAACCATTGTCTGAATTTTACCCATCCAGTGTTTTGAGTCCCTTGCAACATTGTGGGTTAAACAAACTATGGTGCATGTTGGGTACCATTTGCCGAATCACTTTCCCAGGCTTCTGTTGTCATACTGTCTGAACCCAGGCAGCATGGTTTGTTGGAGGCAGGGGAGAACCCTCAAATAAACCTACAATAGGCCATGGGTTATTGAGGGCTATTTCACCTTCCAACAAGCTGTGTCCTGCCAGGCAATTAGGAAAATGGAGGCCAGCAAGCACCACCACTTTAAACAAGTCACACTTTCATCATGCAAACCGGGTCAATGATTGAGTGCCATATTGAAAGGTTCTTGGTAAATCTATGCTTTCATGGGGAAAATATTGTTGTAAGGAAATTTTCTACTGCTGACAACAATTTTTTCTATTAATGCTACAACTTCTGTAATAGATGCTGAACTGTTATTGGCTATGCTTGCCTGTCAGGTGAACCTGGATGAAGGTGAAAGTAGAGGATAGTGTTTTCCTGTATCAGTGAAGTTGAAGTAGAGGAGGATTAATGGTGTATCTGCAGAGTGAAGTGCATGATGAATGTTGTAGTGATGTGAGAGCAATTCTTCATCTCTCTGACCTGGTTCACAGAACATTGTAACCCATTATGGGCAGCAGGCTATAGTAGGTTCTTGCGTCATCTGAATCCAGATCCTTTCAGCAGTGTGCTTTGTTTTTTCCCCAGTATGGGTTCTGGGCAGTGGTAAAAGAACCCACTGAGCAAGAACAGCACCTTCCCCCCTCTTGCTGCTCTTTCTAAGCTCCCTCAAGCCACGGCCAGTGCTAGGCACCCAAAAGGCATGGTACTTTGATGATTTGCTGTCTCTGCTGTGCTCAGGGGGTATCCTCATGAGAAAGATTACTCCCATCATTGTTTTGAATTGGTAGTTCACCTATCAACATCTGTCAAGACAAAAGTGTCCCCCCTTAAAAAAAAACCCTATCAGGAAGCTCTCTGCATTAATGTCTGTGGCTGGTACCTGCTGCATTTTGATAGGACATTCAAGGATTGCTTCCCATTTTCACCCCTGTCAAAATGGAAACAACTGCATTGCTGGAATCCACATTTCTGGCTAAATGGTTTTTTTTAATTAGCAGAATATTTGTGCATATCTGGGGCACAATTTTTTAAAAGTGGATGATGGACTAATGATAGCCCCTTCAGTGTGCCACTTGGGCCCTTAAAAGGGATGGTCAGTGGCTGTCAAAAGGCCAGTTGCTGTAGATGATCTCCAATAAAAAGGGGCTGAAAAGCCACAGCAAGCTAAAATGAATTCTGATTGGGATGGGGAGAGCGATTTGAGTTACAGTCCCATGGGATTCCAGCTGGTAGGCTGAGGGAGATGACAATCCATAACGAGCCTGATTATCTGTTGGCTACACTGTGTGTTTTTCCTTGTAACAAACAGCCCACCATGACTTACAGCCAAAGAGGATTGGCATGATGTGTAAAGCCACCTACTGTCAAAGCACCTTCTCCTGATGTCTGAGCTTTTATATTGAATGTACTGATTTCAGTGATGAACAGACAAGAAATTCTGTACTTAATGCATTATTTATACTCTGATATAGTGAATGGGTGTGAAATACTTGAACCAGTGTGGCAGGATGTGTCGCATCTTCAGGTATTTGCCAGCTTTTTCGAATCATAAGCTCCCTATCTTTCTTTAACACGCACATTAATGGAGTTCCTGTCTTATACTTGTGGAAAACTTTTATTTCATACTCTATCTTGCAGGCTCAGAGCTGGTTATACAGAAAATCCAGAGCTCTTGCTGGAGATATTTTACTTGTGTTTTGGTTGTTTAAGTTCGTCAAGCATATAAATCATTCACAGGAAGCTAGGCTTAGAGGGATCCTTGCACATATTGTCCTGAGTGTAAGAAGTTCAGACTTGACTTCTTGTCTGCATCATTGTGATAATCCCT